AGTTATAATATCTAGGATTCAAGCAAGCCCTAAATATTAAAACAGCAGAAATGAAAATTACCTTTAAAGCTAGACTTAAACAAAGACTCAAAGCAATATTAAGTACACAACTTAATGGAAGGAATACCATAACAGCGATTAACTGCTGGGTTCTACCCATTATAACTGCATCCTTTGGAGTTCTCAAATGGTCAAAAACAGATATGCAAACACTCGATCGCCTAATACGTACCACACTTACTGATTACCGAAGTCATCATCCAAAATCGTCGACATCGATACTATATATATATATCTAGAAATCAAGGGGGTAGAGGTCTACTTAACTTAGAAGACGCGTACGAAGTACAAATAAATAAAATAATGGCGGCACTTTAAAAAGCACCAACATTCCTTGTATCGGTGTATATATCAAGTTGACAAACACTTTACATCATTAAACTTATCGGAACCATCTGAAGACGATATCTCAAACCAATGAAACTAAAAGAATGTTGGACGAATGGCGATCTAAAGTATTGCACGGCAGATTCCATGCAGCTCTGACAGGAGACCAGGTAGATCATAAAAACACCTGAAAATATATGGCGAAGGGAATACTAGACCGCGAGACAGAAGGGTTTATTCATGCTATCCAGGACCAAGTAATTCCTACTCGGAACTATGCTAAACATATATTGAAACAAAACGTAACATCCGAATTGTGTCGATGTGTAATAAAAAATAGAGACAATACAAACATATAAGTAGTGGCTGCAGCAGTATAGCTCCCAGGGAGTATCTGGACAGACATAACGACATAGCAAAACTAATTCACAGTGAAATATGCCAACTGAAAAAACTGAGTTCATCAACAACCCCTATTACAAATATTTACTCCTCAGCAGTCGTTGAAAATGACAACTGGAAAATATACTGGGACACATCAATAATAACCGACAAAGAAATAACACACAACAAACCCGACATACTTCTTATTGATAAAAAACAAAAAATAGCACAACTGATAGATATAGCTGTACCACTTGATGATAATCTGGGAAAACATATCAGAAAAAATATAAAAAAAAAAAAAAAAAAAAAAAAAAAAAAAAAATTCGAAAGTTTCAATCAAAAATTCCTTTACACCATAATGCAGACCTGGAGAACAATAATACAGCTCAATACAACTGAACATCATATTGAAATCAAAGACATTAAAATAATTAACAGAGGGATATTTCAGGGTGACTCTCTGAGCGCTCTGTGGTTTTGCCTCTGCCTCAATCCCCTTTCAAACCTGCTAAACTCCACAACTTACGGAGTTAAAATAAAATATGAAAATAACTGTTACTATAAAATAAACCACTTGTTATACATGGATGACATAAAAATATTCGCCCCAGATCAAAAGGAAATGAGATTATTACTAAATTTAACAGAACAGTTTACACAAGATACATGCATGCAGTTTGGTATAAATAAATGCAGAATTGAACACATTGAAAAAGGAAAATATAAAGAGCACATCGAAAAGAAAAACTAAAAAAATCAAATACTAAAAAATATGGGAACCACAAGAAACATATAAATACCTTGGTTTCGAACAAAATACAAATATAGATCACACATACCTTAAGAATCAATTAAAAAACTAATACAAATACAGACTTACACAAATAGCTAAGTCAAAGTTGAATGCTAAAAATATCACAAAAGCGATAAATAGTTATGCCATCCCAGTTTTAACATATTCATTTGGCATTGTTAAATGGTCAGAAACAGACTTGGAAGCATTAAACCGCCTGAATAGAACAACATTAACAGAACATCGTAAACTACATCCAAAGTCATGCATCGAAAGAATCACATTAAGTAGGAAGGAAGGAGGAAGAGGCTTAGTAGATATAAAAGTACTACATATCAAATAGAAAACCTAAGGAAATATTTCAGAAAATAAAAATCACACCTCTTCATCGAGCAATTCTAATAGCAGATAAGCAGTACAAGCCGCTCAACTTAAACAAATATAATACCTGTGATAATGCTGAGGAAAATAGATGCAAAAATCAAAACAAGAAAGAAAATGCCTGGGCAGGTAAGGCACTTCATGGGATGCATTATGCCATAATGCAAAACTCACAAATAGATGTAGGATTATCATGCAAGTGGTTGTCGGTAGGGCAACTATTCCCTGAAACTGAAGGGTTTCTGTTAGCCATTCAGGACAGAGTCATAACGCTCCAAAAATTATAGAAATATATACTGAAAGAGAGAATGGATACGGACAAATGTCGAAAATGTCAGCAGTATCCAGAAACAATCGAGCATATAACAGGGGGTTGCAAAATACTAGCGGGGACAGATTACACTGATCGACATAACACGGTAGCAAAAATAATCCAACAAGAACTGGCACTCAAGTACAGCTTAATGACAACAGGGTTGCAATATTATAAGTACACTTCCGAAAACGTAATGGAAAATGAAACGCACATGGATAAAGAGATCAGTCACAAAAAAAATTAAAAAAAATAAACAATAATAAACAATAGGCCTGGCATAACACTGATCAATAAAATAGATAAACAAACATTTATTATCGATATCGCTGTACCCAACGACAGCAATGTAACATCAAATTAAGAGAAAAGATGAAAAATGCAAACATTAAAAAACATAAAAAAAAAAAAAATAATGGAAACAAAATAAAAGTAACAATTATACCTATTGTTATATCAGTAACAGGTATAACTACAAAAGCATTCTCTCAACATATACAATCAATAGATCTACCCCCATACATTCACACTAACATGCAGAAAGCTGTAATCCTAAAAACTACAACTATAGTAAGAAAATGTATGCAATAGAGACATACGACTTGGTGTTAACCCGTCATATACTCTAAAACTACAATAGTGAGTCATGGTACAAAGAATACAAGGTATGATCGATAGCGGCTCCAATTTCGTTCAGTTCGCGCATACCACCTGTGACGTCACTAGGAAAATAAGGAATAAATAAAAAATAAAGAAAGTTGACGGAGATCTGCATTTTTTGGGGTTATGGTTAAGAATTGTTTATTTTAAGACTTTTTAGTTCGTTTAATTATAATTACTAAAATAGCAGTTCCAAAAATATATTTAAAAATAATAATTATCTATTAACATGGATTGGACGATAATAGGTAAAAATACTAAATTTATTTCCATATTCGGTATAAAATTGTTTATTAGGTTTTTAGTTTGCGATGTTTATGGTAAATAATTTTCATTTATTGCCTCTGAATTCACATGAGACAGAGATGAGGATATCTATGGAAAAGTAACCACAAGAGGAATTGTTATCATTTAAAAAATATTTAGGAAGTTTATTGTTTCCCATCAAAAAGTAGAAAATGCCAATGCAGATGAACGTATTGTAATTGTGATATAAGTAATTCCAAGGGTGATTTATTATAATTAGTGGAAGTAATACCAAGGGTGAAGTTTATTATAATTAGTGACCTGTGCTTCTTTTATATGTAGATGTTTTTGGTTTTGAGAATAAATTGGTTGAACGACACCCAAAATTTAAGGAAGTATTTGCATACCAGAATATGCCCATCAAAGGTTATATAGCTCAAATTTCCTTTACAATGGTAGGCAAGTATTCAATGCAAATTAACTTTTAAAGTAGGAAATATTAAAGCATAGTTTACAATATGGTATATCACTAAAAATATATTACTTTTAGGTATAATTAGGGCCCGATACATTTCAAAAGTGAATATTATTTTATGATAAGTATTCTACTAACAATCAATTTATATTAATAACGGAGATTAAAAAATAACAGAATAAATAGTTCTTTTTTATACTACAAAAAAACTATATACAACAGTATTTAAAAAATAAATAAAAAGTGATGTTCCGACCGAGATTCGAACTCCGGTCTCTCGCTTCCTAGCCGACTCCTTATGCACTGCTTCACAGTAACTGCTTAGCGATAATTCAATGAAGGTATATAAACAAAAAAACAGGTTTGTAACAATATCTTGACGATTTGAAGTAACGCGCGGAGCGTGCTGACCAATAACGCCTGTTATCACCACCAGCGTAATAACCTGCGCAATATATGTATTCTTTTGTACCGCAGTGGTGAGCTGGCCAACTAGAAACATAATAGTTTCCTACGATGATACGATATTAATTTTATTAGTTTAATTTAAAGATTTCGATTCGGTTTGTTTATGACTGGTGCCATTTTATATTTTTTTATATTTTCATTTCCATAACGATTTCGCTGATTTACTTATAGTCTAGGAGCTAGCAACCCGTTTTCGAGAATCGGTAGCAAATACTACAGTCTTTTTGGTAGATCGGTATATAGACTGCTAATTCGAGATAATTTTAAGAAAGCTGGTTCTTTAATATATTTTCTGCAACAGAGTGGGGATCGTCTGGCTACCGGGAGACGTTAAGTTCACTAGTGTGCATCATATCTGTATTGAACATCTGTTCTTTACTGCGCATCACAAATTCGCTCGATATAAACCAGTAAAAAGTTTGTATAAATGTATGTCCTAAAATGCTTAGTTTCGGAGATACAGGCTGTAGAAGATTAATTTTCATTTCTATTTGAAATTGCGTTTCTATTTGACTATTTCGCTAACAAGAGAAAAAAACGTGGCGTACATGCCTTTTTTAGAAAAATATTCCAGTGATAATCCATATGCACGTCCCTGATGAATATGTCGACAGTTTTTTAGCATTAAAATATGTCGCATTCATAGTAACTTTTTACCCCCAAAATTTCATTCGAAAAACTAAAGGTACTTGGAAGAGAATTATAATAAATCGAAGAAGTATCAAGATTTTAACACCCTGTAGCTACGAAACAAAGCAAAATCGGACTCATGTTGATATGAAAAATAAATCTTATTTTTATGTGAGGAATCTCCACACAAGGGATGGCACATGTTTTTTGAAACACCCTGTAGAACCAGAAAGAAATCTGCTATAGGAGTTGTCATTGTTATTTGTCAAAATTCTTTCTAAACATCATTAATTTTGTATTTAAAAAAATTATATTTAAAATCTTAAGTTCATAATATATACAAACATGGAAATTGAAGCAAAATTAGATGAAGACTTTCTCTTTTACGCCAACTTTATCAGTACGTTCCTAAAACGTATAGCAGATCAAGATGTTTTCCGCATGAGCAAAAACTGGGTTCAAAAGCTTTGTACCGAACCTTACGAAGGAATTAAACAAAAGAGATGCAGAAACATATACTTGGCAAATCTATTGGTGAACATGCACAATGGAAAGTTAGAGGAACCTTTCTGTCAGCCACCCTTTTACGTTGATATAGCTGATGCAATGGAAGTAAGACTTAAAAAATATAGAGCTTTATTCAGAACTCCGCAATTAGTGGAATAAATTAGTGGTTTCAATTACACTTTATACTTTTACTTTTTTTTTTATACTGTATTCCGTTGCAAAACCAGGCAAACCAGACCGGTAAATTACGGTAAAGAGCGGTTCCTGAAAAACATCGGTTTGATACGGAACGGTTTGGTAAAATACTGGAAACGTCAAAAAACGTTGACGTTTTCTAAATTTCAATACCTACCTCTACTTTAAAATTTATCTTTTATGCATTTTTAATGTACATATTCTCTGCTTTTACGTTTCCTACTTCTTTTCAATAGAGTTTAATATTGAAAAGTAATTTATTAATAAACTGTCAAATTCGTTAGACAGCTCAAGTGAAGATTTGTAGGTCCAATATTAAGACAGATCAATAATAAATATACAAATCTAATCAATATTTATATTTTTATAGTTTACAAAACATTCACGATTACGTGTTATCTTGTTTTTCATATTTTCTTCATCCACAGACTTTTAGAAACAATGGCTGCATGATAAGTTTAAACGGTCCTAAAAGTCATTCTATTTAGTTAATAAATTATTTACAACTACTGCTACCTCCATTGCTTTTGGATAATAAAATACAAAATATTACAAAATTTAGAAATTAAATGAGAGAATTTCACTCGAACTTCCAATATTTGCTTGATTTCTGTCACATAAATGACATTGATTGACAAACAAAACCATAAACCGCCAGTCTTCTTCTCGCGCTGAAGTTGGTTTGAGGTGACAATTATAACAAATTTTCCGAGAACCTTGTTCCCTTTATAGAGTTCCGTAATAAGAAAACTTTCACGAAACCGATTAAAAGCAGACATGAGCAAAGGAGTGATTAACAACGCGGAATACATCCTTAGTTTACGATCATTCTCAATATTTAAATAAAACACAATTCATAGATAAATGAAACAAGTTTAGATTGGAAAGTGCCCATAAGGACAATGTAAAAACTATTTGGCGCTATTTTTCCAACAGTCGCGACCCAAAGCTTTTGATAATTTCGGATCGCTTCATTTTTCCCGCAGAAATTATGTCGCCAAAATATTGTTATTCAAATTATTATTTTCTTTTAATTTTATAAATAAATACAGTGTGCTGCATACAAGAAACTATTTTATATAATAGAAGCATGTATCGTAATCACCTATGAAACATTGGAAACCGACGTTATGCCACGATCCACGATGGTTTTTACAGTTCACAGTTCACAACACAATTTTTTAGTTTTTAATGCTACTTTTACCCAATTATCACGGGTTTGAGTAAGTAAAATTAAAATTACACTCACAAGATAGCAATAATTGAGAATGGACGTTTTAAACACTTTTCGGTATTTTTTCAATGAGGGCGGTTTAAATTTTTGAAAGATTTTATAATTTTTGAAGATTCTGACTTTGACAAGAGAAAATTGTTTCTGTTTTTGTTTGCGGTTGTTCTTAGCAACCTTATAGCTACCGCTATAGCAGCGCCAGATCGCGTACAACGGTCGCGACCCAAAACAATTACATATTTTGACGAGCTTTTAAATCTAAATTTATTTTCATTATTTATAACCCAATTAAAATTAAAAGAATACCTAGACAGCTTGGGTTACTCAGTGGTATCCATAAAGCCTAATATTTAGCTTATAAAACAATCACTTTGGATTTGTAACCACAATTTCTCTTGACGGAAGGTAATCAAAGACCAAAATGATATTCCTGGCTAATTTTGTAGTATAATTAATGAAAAAGTTAAAAGTTTCATAACTTTTTCTACTAATTGAAAATGTCTACCACTAATTTTGACGTTCTCAATGCTTACATTGAAATTCAGGGAACCACTAATTTATTCCACTAATTGCGAGGTTCTGAATAAAGCTTAATTATATAATTTTTGAATATAATATTGTAATTCTATTCAGACTTTTGCGGAAATCCCAGAGACGGTTGAAAAACCAGAATGGCTAAACGATACTGATTTTGAATTGAACGCTACTAACGCTCAAAGGGACAAGGCAAGGACGTATTTTGCAACAAAAACATTGCCCAATGGACAAGGGGCATTTGCCTACATCGGCATAAGTTTGACAGGTTCATAAATAAATTGCATTTAATTTCTTTAGAGTCAGATTAAGGTGAACTTTTTTTTTAGCTGAAATCACTTATAAAAAAATATATCCAGCACAGACATCCAGTATACAGCGTGAGTCTGAAATAAGTGCATATATTTTTAGGGGTTGGTCAGGAGAAGAGATTTTTTTAAATTTGGAATGTTTTGAAAAAAAATTTGGAATTTTATTTTAGTTTTCAGTTAAAAACATAATTTCTTGATAATAGGACAACATGGGTAGTAGATTAAATTTACAAGAAAGAAAACCCAGAAGAGATCCCGTGGTTCTCAAAATGTAAGCATAAAATAATTTTTATTTGAAAATTTTTAAAGTAAAATAAATCGGTTATTTTGGACTTATTTGAAAAACGGTAAAGAGAAAATATGTTTCTTTTCTTGAGATCTACCAGCTCTGAAAATATTTGCACTTATTTAAGACTCGCCCTGTAGAAGCCTCCTCAATCTTTTTTTAACTGAAATCACTTATAAAAAAACCAAGATTATGAGGTTTTTTTCGCAAAAAAATTGATTTTTTTTGAAGAATCTTTAGAATTTTTTTTAGTATTTACTTGAAAAACATAATTTCTTGATAATATGGCAACATAGGTAGTAGATTAAATTTACAAGAAAGAAAACCCAGAACAGATCTAGTGGTTCTAAAAATTTTAACGAAAAATCATTTTTATGGAAATTTTCAAAGTAAAATAACTCGGTTATTTTGGACTTATTTGAAAAACGGTAAAGAGAAAATATGTTTCTTTTATCGAGCTATACCAGCCCTGAAAATATTTGTACTTATTTAAGACTCACCCTGTATAGACAAATATTCTTTACACAACTGATTTCAGCTAAACGAAATAGCCCTGATTTCAGCTATTTTCAAGTTGAAAAACTCAAAAAGGATGCTTTTCAGTGGAAATTAGTTTCTGACATGCTATTCGAAAACACCGAAACAAAAACTCGAAAATTTAGTTCTTCAACGAACTGTGTGCTCAAAAGTACAATTTCTTAAAAAAGACTATGAAAATAGGCAAAAAACGAGAATTACTCACAAAGATACAACAAAACACGATATTATACAAAATAATGACTGATATAAAGATAATTGTCAAATAATAAACGACAACCTTGCTAAAAACGGCGCAATGTGACCATAACAATAATAAAATTCGGTTTAAACTAATTTTTGCAGCCTTAATCTAAATAAAATATCTTTTACAATCATTTGCTCTATAAAGTCAAATGAAGAGCTGCTCGGTATCTTAAATTATACAACAAATTTAAAAATGTTTGCCAAAATTTAATTTAGTCAGGCTTATAGACTTTAGTGTCAATGTCGATATCATTGATAACGTGTATCGGAAAATGTTTTGCGATTACAATAACTGATTTTAGCTAAATAAAAATGTTGAGCCCTCAAGTTATTATTCTTGATAAGTTTTCTAAAATTTATAGGTGACGATTGGATTGGGCCATCCGTTGGAGCAGGAGACGTTTCTTTGCAGCGACAGGAAGCTTTAGAGCGCCAGTTTGCCCGAAAGTACCAAGAAGAAGTACCGCAATACGAGCTGGAAAAAATTTTAGCCAAAAGAAAAGACCCAAAAGAGCGCGAACGGGTTCTAACTTTCTACGACGTTCTTTTACAGAACGTCGCAGACGAATTAGACGGTAAAGCTCCCGAATTTAACGAGACAGTCGAAGGACTTTTGGAACAACTAATCGAGGACCTTGAATATAAAGGCCAGTACGCAACCTATGAAGATTTAGATGATTACGAAAGGCGAATGGAACTGTTAATCGTTCTTTACGATCGCATCAAGGCCCGACGCGATAAGGTTGCCACACGCGAAGAAATTCTCGACAACATCGAAGACAAAATTATGCCTCATTTATTCGAAGCCTCCGAAGTTGAACCGGATGACGAGTATCAACTGCCGGCAGCCATGTGGCAGCAAGCTATCGACAAAATGCCAAGCAGAAAGCAGTTAGTGCTCTTAAAAGAACGATATCCAATTCCGGTAGTTGAAAAGTTTATCATTTATTTAGCAGCGTACAAAGAAACGATTGCCGAACGGATGCACAAAAGACACGAACGTATCGCTACGCAAATGAAGAAAGAGCTCAGGAAAGAGAGCACGAAGAAGAAGAAAGAAGCAGAAAAAATGGAGGTGGTTGCTCTAGAAACTGAGGTTATATACGGGGCTGTTAAGACGCACTGGGAGAAGAAAATGGAAGTTGAAGAATCGAACAGAAATCAGTTTAACCTTCCTCTAAGCGACCACTCTAAACTTTACGAAGAACTTAGAGTGGCCGCGCTCGATACACAGAAACTGGTGGAAGAAGAGGCGGCTAGGGGCAAGTTCCTAGCTGAACAAATCAACGCTGTCACGGAAGAGAATATTATGATTAAGGAAGTGAACGACGAGTCCATTAAGAAAATTGAAGAGGCCAACTCGAAAATACTAAGAAATATTAAGAGAATGAAGCGGGCAATTAAGAAATACGAAGAACATGTACATACTATGCGCGCATCGGCTGAACAGTCCAAAAAAGCGATCATGTGTACAGACGACGATGATGATTGAGGATGAAATTATGTACCTTTAATTTATGTCTATTCATATGCAAACAAATATTATTAAAGCAACAAAAGATGCCGTTTTGAATTTTTTAAATATGTTACTGCAAAAAGTAGACATTTTGACGGCCAAAATAGGCTTCTTAGCACCTCTCTATTTTAACAATATTTAATTATTGCATTTTAATAATTAGTACAGAATCTACTCGTACATAATAATACATCAGCAAGGTTAGTTATTTTACAATTTTTGAAGTGAAACTTCTTTACGCGGGTTGGGAGTAAAAATTCAAGGCCATGATACTCGGTCTTGAATGAGGCCCGCGAGATGGCCATGACGGCAACAAGAAGCGCGAGAGAAATAGTGATAGTGGCAGTGTTGTCACAACTACTAACCACCCATTCGGGTTGGATCTAGCCCTTTGTAAAACAATTTAATCCCGCTATCTTGTGATAATCTACCCTGATGGAGAATAAGCTTTTGGCAACACTGGGTAACGATCTGTGCCATAGGCCGCTAAGAAAATTACTATAATAACCTTGATATTGTACCAACCTTGTGTGCTAGGAAGTAAATTTTCATGCATTTTCAATCGATAGGCTTGTAGCTTCTAAATAACGGTCTAGGTAAAGTATGTAGCTCATTTGCCAGCTCAAAATTAGAATTTGGAGTTAGTTGCCGCGTCCTTTTCTAATTTGAAGTTCAATAAAACACAAGTTTACTTAATCGGGATGAGTTGCATAGAGGCCACTAGCTTTTTAATTTTAACAGCCGGGTGGTCGGGGTTCAAAGATCTTAATAAAAGGGCGCCACCAGATTATACTCTATGAACTCGGCATAAAAGATGTTACTATTAAGTAGACTTCAACACTAACCTCGAACTGTTGAGTGCAACTACCATGAACTTCAAATATTACTATAATTATTTAAACTTAAGTGACTGTAACTTAACTATGAGACCAGACTGTAAATAATACTACTAAAAATATGATTAAGTAATTTATTAAATATCTAAAGTAAATATATAAAGGAACGAATGAAATGTATGAGAATTAAAATAAAATGTAAATGATTGAAATATATTAAATCAGAATTTAAATCAATAAAAACTAAATGTGTGTCATCCCCCTTAACTTAAACTAAGTATGCTCTAAGGGCGGAATACAAATCGCAAATCTAAACCTAACTAATATTTAAACAGTCTTACTCTACTCGATGTGATATACTTAAAACTTCCTCCGGCTGAGCTACGGCATATAGCTACAGGGGTTGCTACGGCGGTGTACAGCAGCCCGGTGTACTGTCACTGGAGCCCACGTATGTCAGCAGATGTACAGATGAAAGGCAAGTTGGTGAGGTTTCAATTGGTGAACATAAAATATCCTAAATAATATTGGTTGTCTTAGAAAAGAGCCTCAATTATAGAACAAGGACTAGCACAACGTGTAGGAGTTAATAAAGGTAATAAAGAAGGACTAATCAAATCTGAACTTTACCTCAACGAGGGTTTATGATGTCCAACGGGTACCTCTACACGGACAACAGGAACGGATGGAATTCTGGACTGTTCTGTGCTACGGTCTGGATCGGTCTTCTTGCTCTACAATTACGAACAACCAAATAAGATTTAAGAACGATAACACTCAACTAATCTTTCTACACCACGTGGGCGTGGAAAAGTCGAAAACCAGTCAACAATACGAATAAAAATCAGTTGAGCATTGACTTAGAATAGGCAGAAGAATTATAGCATACCTTGGAACTCTCGGGGACTTCTTGGGCACGTGGAATCGGAATATCGGTCGGAAAAAGGCTATTTTAATCCCATTACGAAAACTGGTCGGTGGTCCATGTAAACTCAACAAAATCCAACCACGTCTCTGACCAAATGTGCTTCGGAAGCCTTAATCCTTCTCTAGGAAGACCTGCTATTCACCAACAGGGAATGCTTCACGAAACGGCAGCCAGTTCTTCACGACGATATTCTCGGTGGATACACAAGAAGTGATGCAAGGATTCGATTTCTTTCACAAAATCAGATTTCAACCGGAAATCTCCCTCCAGCATATAGATAGAGAACTTTATATCTTGACTAGTCCAACTCACAAAAAGGCATAAATAAAAAATGATGTTCTAGAATATTTTCCAACAGCCATATTCCATATCCGGTCAATGAACGAACTTATTCACAAATTCCCACAATTAAATGAACGAATTGCACACTGCAATCCACATCAAAAATAAACAATTTAACTAAGAAATTTTAACGGATAATTATAAAATTTCAATAACCAAAATAAAGGATAAATAAATCCAAAAACATCTGATTTGATCTGACAGTGACAAGTGATGACCAAAGATAAAGAGAGGTCGACAAAAATTCTAATGCTGGGCCAGTGACAATATCGTGGAGCTGTAGCTGTATAATATCGCGGTGTATATCGGGTTGCATAATCGTAAAATTTAAATAAAATAATATTTAACAATAAAATTATAGTAAACATGATGCAAAAATAATAGCTATTTGCGATATTTTATGAGCTAGCACACAGAGGTCGTTGCGAGGAAATTTGACTGTTACATAGTAACTCGCATTTTAATTGGAGGACACTGTCATATTTATTTCAAACCAATAATCGACGAGAATATTCGTATAATTTAATAAAATTACTGTGAATCACTATATAAATAATGAATTGTTTGTAATTGGACTGTGCTTTCTGTATTATTACTCCGGTAAATGATGGAGATAAATAATTGTGATTGATTAAAATTTTATTTTAAGATGAGACTTTTGTTAACAACATTGTAAGAACTCGGATAATGAATTGAATAATGACAAGACAAGTGACATCTGTCTAAAAAAGAGAGCGATTTGCAGTGGCAATTTAGTTATGTAAAATTTAGAGTGATAATTTTGATTATGCTAAAGAAATACTGGTTGTCTAACGATTAACATTAATTTAAAAATAAATCCCCAACATGAATAATGAACAAAACATTTAAACAAAAACAGACCACAGACCACACAAAACAAATTTTGGTTAGTAGCAGTTAGTTGTAGTCAGAGATATAGATGTAGTAGTATTTTGGCTTAATTGGCACAGCTGCCAGGCTATCCGGCCGAGTGATAGAACTAACGATTTTTAATAAAAAGCTAGAATAGCATACGGTTTTATATTAATTCTAATTTTTTTGAAGTTAAAAAAAAGCATTCATAAAAAAAATTATCCTTCAAATCCTTCAATTTAATAGATAATAATAAGAAGTTTCACTTCAAATATGCGCACATAGTGCAGACACAAAAGAGTGTTCAATGTTTGGACAGATCAAAATTTGCATGGGATTTCCAGTTTTCAACAGCGATGCACTACTCAGAAGTAAAAAATACCCGGGAAAATGCATGCCTAATTTGGTACACTTAATGAAATTTTCCCGGAGCCCTGTCAAAGATAAATCTCCCAGTTGGAACTTTGTCGCTTCTAAATTGGCAAATTAGTGTTGAGTTGCCATTTTGAAAAGTCTCCCAGGGGACCAAAGCGAAATCTGTAAAGCCAGTAAAATAAATATCAGGTTTTTCTTTCTTCCGAAAGAGCTCGAAACAATCGTTTGATGTGGGCGATCGATATCAATCTCGAAACCGTAAAAATCACAAAGTGTGACGCAAAGAAAGGTTTTTAAAATTACAAGTTAGCATTTTCGACGACTAAGTATATTTCCTTCGTCGGCGGTAAACCATAAAGCTCTCAGGTAGTTTTAAGGTTTTATTTTCAGGATCTCCTGATTTCCTACGGGATTTTCTTGTCGGACGATAATGCTAATTAATATTTGCACGTGTAAGAAAACTATCCGGTCGAGAAGCTTTTTCGTAGTTTCGCAAGAACCTATTAGAAAAATTTCCGTCATATTTTTCGTAATATCGTCTATTTTTTCTATTATTAATTTGCAACCAGGGTTGGCTAGGTAGAAAATTTTATATTTTCTATCGTATTTTCTACGCCAACTAATTTTCTACATTTTTTACCTGGTCAGACGTAGAAAATTAAAAAAAAAAAAGGGTTTAATATGTTTAAACGCTTTGGTTTTTGAGATATTTAAAAATATTTAAATCTGCATGCTATAATTAAAAGGTTTGTCAACACCATAACACCGTACATTACTTTTCAGAATTAATTCTTGTGCTGACTTTCAAGCCAGAGAAATAAACTTTACTAAAAAAATTGATTGCTTCCTTAAATGTATACAGGGGTATCAAAAATTGCTGATCTATTTAAAATATTTATTTTACATAAAAACTTCATTATTTCAAATGCAACACTATGTATTTTTTAAATAAGTCGAAGCATATTTAAATGCTCTTTCAAACTATATTAGAGTTTCCTATACCTATCCGGCTCAGATTTTGAATAAAAAGCGTTTTTTTTTCAATAAAATTGTAGTCAAGATGGCTGATGTCGCCATGGCAATTTTCTAGTGATACTCAGTAGCTATTTTCAAAATCGATATTAGTTTATGGACTTTATTTAAAATTATAACAAGTTATTTCTAATTAATTTACCTACAATAAAGTTCATAAGTAAGTATTTATTATTTTATCAAGAAAAATGAAGCAGTATCTGCTGGCGGAAGGAGTGAATATGTTACTAGTGATTTTATTTTGTGAGGACAAATGCTTGTTGGCCTGAAGGGTTTATGCTCAAAGATATCCAAATAGAAATTTTCTTGAAAAAAGTTTTTTTGCAATACTACTTACTACTTTTCCTATTTCGCAGATAGTGTGGTATGTGAAAAACCTATTAGGCAGAAACCTGTAGTTGGAAGTGAAGTTCTTCTTTAGAAAGTTATCCAATATATCTACAAGTCATCGTAATATAAATTAAAGAACTACTTCTTTATTTTTATTGATAAAATAATAACTTACTTATTAAACTAGGTAAATTAAATAAAAGTTAACTGTTATAAATTTAAATAAAGTCCATCAAGTAACGTCGATTTTGAAAATAGCTACTAACTGTCACTAGCAAATTGCCATGGCGACACCAGCCATCTTAATTGCAATTTTATTGAAAAATTGGTTTTTATTCAAAATCTGAGC